AAAAAAAAAAAAAAAAAAAAAAACAGGAAGTGCCCAGTGTTTCACAGTCCCCTGGGAGGGTCCACTACCCACCCCACAATGACCTAAGAACTCCCACTAGGACCCACCTCTTGAAGCTTCTACCACATTCTATAAGTGTCATTCTGTATAGCAGGCCTCTAACACACAAGCCTTCGGGGACATTCGAAATCCAACCTATACCGAAGCTTGTGTCCCCTAGTTAGCTGTCATGGGTGGAGACCCTGAACTGAGGGCTACCCTGCTGTGTATCTATCTGACAACTGCTGGAAGCAGGAGGAGGAGTTCCGGCCATACCAGCCCTCCATATTCCCTCTGATGCTTCGGTGGTTTGGTAGTCACAGCCCAGCATCAGCTGTAGGAAATAAATGTCAAACTCTAATCCTAAACAGAGAGTGTCATTCCCTGCAGAGTGACACTAGCCTGAAATGGGTTGTGTGGGACCCTTACCCCTTCTCCATACACATAAGAAGGCTTCCAGCAGATTATTTATAGTGAGATCATTTTTTGCATATCTTACTCTAGGTTCTTCCCTATCTCTGTTCCTGTCCTACCTAGAACAGTCCAGCCCTCTCCTGCCACTGTTTTCACAGGGCCCTCTGTCCTGGTGTTGGTGGCACATCTTGTCTCAGACATTCTAATTGCACGTCCCTGTCTTTCAGGATTTAGCTCCCACTCAAGTCTCAAGCCCCTTGTAGTCTTGTTTCTTGCGTAGCTATTGAAGCTGTGCCTTATTTTTGTTATTGCCCTAGAGAAGGAAACTAGATTGGGTTTAATGGCACTGACAAAGGAGGGTAGAAGGACAAGTGAGAAGACGGGTGGTGAGAAACATGACAGCAGATGAGGGTGAGTGAGAGAGGTCTGCACCTTTGGACTATAAAGTGGAAAACTTAGCAACCATACACTTCAGGATAAAGCAGACAATACAGTTTATTACCACTTAAAATGATTATCTTAAGTATCAAAATGACCCTACATGAAATGTGATCTTGCACTACATGGACAGAGTATACACTAGGCACTCCAATTTGTAGGTCAACTCCTATGCAGATGAATCATGTGGCTGTCCTCAAGTCACTTAACTGCTGGAGGTCTTAGCTCCATCATCTGTAAAAAACAAAAATATTAAAGTAAAGAGGAGCAAATACAAACCACCTAAGCTCATGGAAGATATATATAAGCCACTCTATAATCTTTACTTCTCAGGACCATCCTCATTTTATGTATAAGAAAACATAGCTCTGCAAGTTAAGAAGTTTTTGCACCATGAAAGAAATCACCAACAGAGTAGAGACAACTCACAGAATGGGACAACATTTTACCAGCGATTCCTCAGACAAAGGGCCAAATATCTAGTATATACAAAGAACTTTTTAAAAATCATCACGGCCCCCAAAGATAAAGACCCAATCCAAAACGGCCATCTGCAGGGAATGGAAAAATTCTATTTCAAGAGAAAAGCAGCAACATACTTGGACAGTTCTCCCACAGGGTTTAGAGACAGTCCCCACCTTTTTGCTGAGACACTAGAGAAAGACTGGAGGCATTTAAAGCTTAAACGGGGAACCATCCTGCAGTGTGGAGATGATATTCTAGTTTGTAGCCCAACTCTGAAATTAACTATTACATTCTCAACTTTTCAGAAGGGACATAAAGTCTCTTAAAAAGGGGCTGAGATATCCCTCCAAAAAGTTCAATATCTGGGATATATTCTTACATCTGGAGAATGACAGCTGACTAGGGACTGGATCCAAGCTATGATCTCGGGCCTCCTGCCACCAAATAGCTACACTGTTTCCTGGGGGTGACAAGCTTTCGTAGGATCTGGTTACCTACTTTTGGACTAATGGCAAAGCCTCTATATGAGCCTGTCAATAGCCTGTGCTCTAGAAAGGACAAATAAAGGGAAATAAGGAAGTCCCTTACTCAGGCTCCTGTACTGGGAATATCTTTCTTTCTCTATGTATCAGAAAAGAAAGCAATCACTTTGGGGGCCTTGACCCAAACACTAGGACATGAACCCTGCCCAGTGGCATATTTTGTAAAAAAAGTTAGATGAAATAGCTGCCGGACGGTCCTCCTGCCTGAGTACAGTAGCAGCTATAGCTGTACTAACAGAGGAAGCTGAAAATTTAATTTTTGGACAGAGGCTAGAAGTCCTAACTCCCCATCAGGTCAGAGCTATTCTGGAGACAGGGGAATGGCTCCCTAAGTATCCTGCCATACTCTTAGACACCCCTGAGGTTACGATAAAAACTTCCACTACTCTTAACCCTGCTTCTTTGATGCCTACAACCCAGAAGTTAGCCACTCTTGTAAACAAGTCATCTAGACCTATACAATTAGGCAAAACATCAGTGATCTGCCCCACAATGAAGAAATGTGGTTCACTGATAGAAGTAGCAATGTCCAAGAAGGACAATGAAAAGCAGGTTATATAGTCGTCAGTTCACAATAGGTCACTGAAGCTAAACATCTTCCTCTTGGAATTATTGCTCAAAAGGCAGAGAGAGTAGTTCTTACACAGGCCTTGCTACTAGGAAAAGGCAGAAGGTTAAATAGCTCTATAAAATCCAGATATGCCTTTCTGATACTATATGTCCATTCAGCAATCTAGAAGGAAAGTGGCTTCAATGACTAGTAAACAATCATCTACCAAACAGAGCAGGAAATTCTTCAACTCCTAGAGGCAGTCCATCTTCCCAAGCGGATTACAGTCAGGTACTGTAAAGGGCACCAAAGAGACATGTCTGAAGTCTCCTTGGAAAATCAAATGGCTCATAAGGAAGCAAAAGGAGCAATCTTACAGCTCCTTAAGACTCTAGTCTTATTCCAAGTTCCTAAGGAATCATTAAAACCAATATATATTCTCCAGGAAAATAAATGGGCCTCAGGACAAGGGGAATTTAAAAGGGACTCTGCTCGTATTTAGAAAACAAACTGGCCCTTTCTCGAGAGACACAGTGGAGGGTTATAAAAGTGCTATATTATTCCTTCCATATGGGATGAGATGCTACATTGGTAGTGTCACTTGAGTTTTCACAGGAGTAGGACTACTGGCAACCACCCAACTTGTCAGCAAAGCTTGCCCTCTCTGTGCCTATAATAACCCAGGAAAGCCTAAACCACTTCCTTTATTAGAGGAGTAGGGGGACATACCCTGAAAAGGACTGGCAATTAGACTACTCATATGCCACCATGCAGAGGATTTACACAGATGTCGGTCCTTTGAAGGCTGCATTGAAGATTACCCTACCCATTCAGAAAAGGCTATGGAGGAAGTCAACATGCTTCTTAAAGAAATCATCCAGAGATCTGGGCTACCCAGCCCCTCCAGAATGACAATGGACCTTATTTTATCTGCCAAACAACTGCAGAGGATGGCAAAGGCTTTAGGAATAAAGTACCACCTCTGTCCCTCCTGGGAGCATCAATCTTCTGGAAAGGTAGAGAGAGCCAGCCAGACTCTAAAGGAAACTGGCAAAACTTTGTCAAGAGATGTCTGACTCTGAGAATAGTGCTCATGAGGTTCATAACACGCCCAAAACTGGGCTAAGTTTGATCCTATCTGAGATATTATATGGGAGGCCACTTCTGTCCTCTGATATGATCGTAGATCCAGAGGCCACGAAGTTATTACAATATCTCATTAATCTTGGCCAAGAACAGCAGGCTATCTAAATGTATAGGAACAAAGTCCTACCAGCTCTGGGCTCAGGAGGACCACCTAATGTCCATCCTACAAAATAAAATGAGACAATAAAAATATCTACTTAGCACAAACAAAGATAGTGCAGGAAGAAGAGAGAAGCAAAAGAAGAAAAAAGATACGAGACAAACAGAAAATAGCAAAATGAAAAAGTTAAAGTCAACCATGACAACAATTACATTAACTGTAGATAAATTAAAAAGCCCAATGAAAAGGGATAGTAGATTGGATTTTTTCAAAGGCAAAATACAATTATATGTAGACTATAAAAGATACTTTAGATTAAAAATAATGAATGTCAATAAAATACAGAGAAATCTATAGATTTCAACACTTGCATTACAAAAGAAAAATATCTCAAATTCATAGCCTAATTAAGAAACTAGTAAAAAAGCAAACTAAGCCCAAAAGAAACAGAAAGAATGAAATAATAAAAATCAAAGCCTAAAACAATTTTTTTAGGTCCTGGAGATTGAACCCAGGGCTTCACACAGAGCTGTATCATCCTCATCCATTTTATGTTTTATTTTAAGAGAGAGTCTCACTACTGGGTTCAAACTTGTGATTCCTGTGCCTCCGCCACCCAGGGTGCTAGGACTGCAGGCGTGCACCACCAACCTTGGCTCTTTAAAAGAAAAATCAGCACCATCAACAAACTTTTCTCCACACTAACCCAAATGAAAGCAAACGTGAGCATGACACAGATAGCCAGCAAGATAGAAACAATGTTATTGGGTACTGTCCTTTCCAGGCTTCTCTTCCCCCTGTCAAAGAATTGGATGGAATAATTTATGAATGTGAAAGTTTAACATCTATTTGGGGCAAAGTAAGAAGAAAATAAGCACAAAAGAAGTGCTCAAGAAGAAAAACTGCTCTGCAGAGTGAGGGTGGGCCAGTTTAAAGTAGGAAGAGAAATACACCTTGCGGAATGCATCAGGGTAGCCTGGTGAGAAGGCTCACACCAAGCAGAAGCTTAATAGCCACCATCTTTTACATCCTCTTTCTGATATCCAGTCTAAGCCATCCAGCAAACATCTGCTTGATCTCAGAAAATTAGTATCAGATGTGGGGCTCAGCTTGCTCTTGAGCTGTAAGAACATCTATACTCATAAACGTTGGAACTGAGATCAAGATTGGTAGGGACTAAAATTCTGAGAATACCTTGATATAACTCTCGGATTCCTAGAGGCCCTCAGCTTCCTGTTATGAAACAAAGGTGAATAGAAATCTTATAGAATTTTAAATATTTACACATTATTATATAAGATTTAAAATTCAAAAGAATCTGTAGGCTCCATAGCAACAGTGTCGTTGCTACAGACACAACTAGAGCATGGCACTAAACACAGTACGAGAAAATTATTTCTGAGAGTTCAGAGATTTTATCTCTTTATGAAGCATGTAACATCAAAACTAACTATAAAGAGTCATTTAAACATCAGTCACCTCACAGTAAGCACCTATATAAGCTTATAATTATGCCTCAGGTGAACCTACAGGAACAACAGAAGGCAAGGTAGCATTATCCCAAAGAGATTCATGTGAGGAATGAATTAAATTCAAAAGAATACATTAAAAGGATTAATCATGCTCTATGGCCTTATCTCCTAGCTGTGTTTGCTATCTCCTCGCTGGCTTGCCAAATATGTTATCAGGTATTATAGTGACCATGAATTAGAGAAGGCATCTATTTCCGCATTATAATAATACAAAATATTTCCTATTATCCTTACAGAAAGTATTGTGAACAATTTATGCCAGTGAATTAGACAATATAGATGAAATAGACGTATTTCCAGGAAAATCAATCACTAAAATAGACTCAAAAAGAAAATCTCAGTAGACCTACAAGTAAAAGAAATTGAATAAGTAATTTTAAACTTTCTATAAAGAAAAATCCAGTCCCAGATGGCTTCATTAATGAATTCTTCAAACATTTAAGAAAGAAATCTTAGCCAGGCGTGGTAGTGCACACCTGTAATCGCAGCACTTGCGAAGGTGAGGTAGGAGAACTGCCACAAGTTCAAGGCCAGCCTGAAGTACAGAGGGAGATCCTGCCTCAAAAAAAAAAAAAAGAAGAAGGAGAAAAGGGAGAAGGTGGAAAGGAGAAAGAGGAGGGGAGGGAGAAAGGAAGAGGAAAAAGAAATTTTACTGATTGTTCTGCACATCCTTCCAAATGAGAGACAGAGTCCACCCTTCCTAACTCATTCTCTGAGGGAAATCTTACCCTGACACTAAAACCAGACAAAGCTAGGCCAACATCTCTCATGAATATAGACATAAAAATACTTAACAAGATATAAGTAAACCATACACCATACAGAGCAAGTTTTACCATTTGTAAACCAGTTTTTACGGGGTTAGTGGAGGAGTCCACCATGGAATGCAGAGTGTGGTTGTGACAAATGAATCCAACCGTATTACAAAGGAATCACACAATGTCACTGAAGAAGAGCTGAATCGAGTAATTTTGAAAAACAGTGTTTCACTGGATACTTACCCTAAATACAGAGAATACTGTACAGAACACCATTGCTAAGTTGCTCACAGGTTTAGCAATTCTGAAGCTACTCTACATGTATACTAAGGTTGAACAATATATGTAGATAATTAGACCAGGTTTTTCTGGAGAAAGAAGTTATACATAAGAAAAGGAGAAAATTTCTAGAATAAAGTCTGTGGTTCTGGATGAGAGTTTGAGAGGTCAGTAATGAATTTATTTACACACAGATATATATGTGCATAAATGAGTTAGAATATATATTCCTAGCTCCGTCTCATAAGTGCACTTAGCAGAAGCAAGAGATTTTCTAGTAGCCATGAGCACACCTAAGTCTCAAGATCTTATTTTTTAAATTCCATTCTCCAATAAAAGGAACCAAAGCTTCTTGAAGAAGTAGTTGGCCCCAGAACTGGGGCACATAAAGTACAAGATGATCCTGGGGCATTTTATGGGACTAGAAAGCAAAGAAGTGTTTGGGGAAAAAAACCTGGGGAGATGCAGGAACATTTGAAAGATTCAGGAGCTAACCTGAAGAAGGCCCGTCTGGAAAAATCTGAGCAACAAAATATACAGTAATAATATATAACAGCCCAAAGAATGAAATAAATAAGTCCATACAGATATAAACAATTAAATAAGTTGAGAAAACTCTTAAAGAATACTAAATAAATGTAGAAGAAACAAGGGAACAGAAAATTACCCTTAGATGACAGAAACTAGTCATTCATAGGAAAATGGATGCACACTGAGGCCATACTCTTAAGTAAAATAAATAGGACACACAGGTGTAAATACCGAATAGTTTCTCTGGTGTGAAAATCTAAAAGTGTAAATAAGAACCAAAATGTATAACTGATAATGTGAAATAGGAAGAAAAAGGCTAAAGTGGGAAGGATAAGGGAAAGGAAGTAAGGGAAAAGAAAAAATATGAGAAAAGGAAAAACTGGAAACAAAGTCTTTGTAAATAGGGAAGGGTGAAGGGGGTGAAGGAAGGGCAGGGGTATGGGGAAAAAAATAAGAACCAAGATACATCATGTAAAGGTACAAGATCCCAATGAAAAATGTAACTGTACTGTGTACTTAAAATGTACCTAATGTACCAATCAACTCAATGAAGAAAAAAAGAAAATCACCCTTAGAACACTGCAATAATAGTTGCTGTAGGTAAGATTACTCACTGACAAACGCTAAAAGTAGTAGTGACAGGTTTACTGTATCACTATTCCCACTAGCCAAGATGTTGACATGGAATCAACCTCAGTATCCGTCAATAAATGAATGGATTTTTAAATGTAGTATGTATATACAATAGAATATTATTCACACTCAGAAAGATGAAATCATGTCATTTGAACAACGTAGAGTTACCTGCAGGATATTATGCTAAGTTGACGAAGCCAGGCACAGGAGCTGGGGATTTGGCTCAGTAATTCCACTGCCTGCCTTGCAAGTGCGAGTTCCTGAGTTCTATCCCCTGTACCCCAAAAAAAGCCAGGCACAGAAAGGGAGATACCGCATGACCCCATTCTAAAAACAACGATCTTCCGGAAGAGGAGATTAATGGTCAGAAGAGGCCGGAGAGGTGGAAGGGAATGAGGAGAGGTTGGTCAGTGTGTACAAAGTTACACTTAAATAAGAGAAATAAGTTCTACTTTGCACAGCACAGCAGAGTGATAATAGTCAATAATAACGTGAAATTTTAAACAGCTAGGAGATGATAGCTATGCTAACTATCCTTACATGTTCCTTGTACAATATGAATATGTATCAAAACATCGCATCGTATTCCAAAAATGTGTGCAGTTATATGCCCACTAAAATAAAGTATACCTTAAAATAAAGAATGAAAATTAACGGTGAAAGATTAATGATATACAGAATTTTTTGCATAACATCAAAGTCTGTCCCCTTCCACATACTTATTACACAGGGAAAAACCATTAACTTTACAGTAGATCATTAAGGTTAACATGACCCACATAAAATGTAGATACTCTGTACTCCCTGTGATATCCTGAGAAGGATATTATCTCTATAGATAGGATATTACCTCTATTTTAAAATGTTCACTTAAAACAGTATGTCTTATTATGTCAGCAGCAGCCTTGCCCATTTGTATTTACCAAATTTGGGGAGATTTTTCCCATGCAATGCTGGGGATCCCATCCAGGTACTAGCATATGCTAAGCACATATCTACCACTGAGCCACAACACCAGCCCCCTACTACATCTCTGTCTTGCATCAAGAGCCACATCAAGTGACTGGCATATACCACCCAGGTTTGTGTACATGCACTCTGGTGCTCAGGCAGTGACAAAATTCCCTGACCATACATTTCTCAGATCTCCACTGTCAATCGACGCATGACATGTGGGTGTGGGTGTGTGTATTTGCATGTGCGCATGTTTTCTGTTGTTTAAAAAAAATGGATAAGGGCTCAGTTAAGATAATGGGAAAGGCCACAAGAGCCATGGGCATCCTGCCTGTTTCTGCCTAGAGGAAAAACTTCACTCTTCTGGAGTAAGGATCCCAACCACTGAGGCCAATCGGCCTAATAGTCTCCAGCAACTAAACTTTTGGAGGCATATCTGTCAAAAAAGATGCGAATGGAACACTGTCTCTCTGGGACACCACCTTGGAGCATCCACAGGAGCTCCTTTGGGGGTGGGTGGGTCCCTTGGGCTCCTCAAGAGCAAAGCTGACTCATGATCGTCTCCCACAGTGTCCACCCCAGTAATCATCAGCCAGGACCAAAGAGCAAAATACTGGAGAACAGACCCTGAGAAAGAACCTATTTCTTCACAGCCAGACCAAGTAAGGCAAGATTTAGGAAGAACCAAGCACGCAGCCCACTGAGGCAGCTGTGCCAGGATGTTGCGAGAAGGCCACCAGTCCCAGGCTTCTCTTCCAGAAGCTCTCTAGACACAAATGAGGGCTGGACCTGGAGAAAGAGCTAGTAGACAGATCTGTAGGACCAACGCAGAGAGGCAGGAGTAAGGGGAAGGCTGAATGGCACTGCAGTCTACGCATCCTAGGTCTTACCCTTCAAGATTTTGTTCATCCGCTGGATCACAGCTATCTTCTCTAAGTCCATGTCTTCAGCTGTGACACGATAACCGAGCAGGAGAGGAGGGCGAAGGATCACTGGGTCTCTTCTTCTACAGGACAGCAGAAGAATCTTTCATTCGGGGGTCCTTGAAAGATCAGATGGGTTTGAGCAACCCCTCAGGTTTTGTTGCTGGCTTGATTGAGCATCTGCGTCCTTTTCATGCTGGCTTTTTCTTTGTGATAGCGCTGAGGGCAAAGAGCTAGCCTGATGGCCTTCCTCACTGGCTTTCTTTGCAGGCACCAGCACGTGGGGTGACCCTGGGTGGGAGCACACAGCAGGGCCTGCCCCATCTCTCTTGTGCAGCCTTGGGAGGCCTTGGGTGGAACTGTAGGAACTAGTGATGGCATTGCGTTTGCTGCATGAGCTCAGGAAACAGCTCTGGGATTTCGTCATCAGACTATTCACTGAGCTCCCATGACAGAAATCCACCTTCAGAGCCCCAGGCCTGGACAGAAAGGAAGAGAGCACCCCGTAGACCACCAGGCGCCTAAACGCAGACTGGTTGCTCTCACTGCCGTCAGAAAGACTTTGGGGCTCCTCCTGTCTTTCTGGGATAGCGCTGCTCTCCTCTCGCCCTAACCCTAACCCTTCCCCACTGCCTCCCAGGGAGGCCAGGTCTTTCTCTTTCTCGGCTCTCTCTGGACTGCTTTCTTCTGGAGCTCTCAGCTGGGACTGCTTGGCTTGTGAGAAGAGCCGGGTCGGCGGCGTCCAGCGAGTCAAGGCTGACGTCTCTAGAGCCAAACAGAGCGTGAGCTTTCCTCTCACGGCCAGGTTCAGGACGGCTGCAGTGCGGCAGGGCATCCCGGGGCTGGATAATGACAGCGCTGGCTTCTTCTGGTGGTCTCTCGAGGACCCGGGGTGAAAGACCCCCAGGAGCAAACAGCGAGCCTTCTGGGTGGGACTTCGCTGGCTGCGGACGACGAGAAGCCGCCGCCGGCGCTGACGCCGCCAGGG